AGCCTCGAGCAACTGGTCCTTGGCTTTCAGCGCTTCCTCATACCGTTGCTCGTCTTTCCTCAGCTGGCCAGTCAACTCGTGGCGAGTTTTGCGCAAATCCTCATTTTCCGCCTTCAGACGCCTATTCTCTTCTTCTAAGCGCCGATTGTCGCCTTCCAGCACAGGGATCGGACGACCAGAACCGTTCAGTGTCTCCTCGAGGAGAGGTACAACGGAAGTAAGGGTCTGTGGTCGAGCAAATGGTGAGGAAGAGTATGAATGCAAAACACATAAGGACGCACATGAGGAAAAGAAGTATACCTGTATCACGGCACGGGTAGCATACTCGGCCTGAGAACGGCGATTCACACCCCACCGGTGAGTATCGTTGAATGGTAGGAACCCCATCAAGCGCGAAACAGCTTCTTGGGGTCCTGCTGAGACCAACGAAGAAGGGGGGGGCTGGGCTGAACAACCGGCCCCCCGGTAGAGTGTGCCTCCACCTGGGACCGCCTGGGCGAGGGGGGCGCACCACTAGAGTGAGGACCAGTCACCTCAGAGCGCGGACGCTTCTTGGAGGTCTCTTTCTCTTTGGTCGACTGGACGGAGGTGCGCTCGCCCTGGCGGTCGATTTGGTGAGATGGAGAAGGTGCTCGCTGTTTGTTGGAATGGGACGGATTGCTGGACTTCTCAGCTCGAGAAGGACCTTCTTTGGTCGAAGGGAGGCCCCTCGATTTCTCAGCAGCCGTCGAGGCATCTTTGTTGCCAGTCCTACTGCCGCCGGCCTTCTTAAGGTCGGGTTTGACCAAAAATCCCTCTGCACAAACGATGGATCAATCAAAATATTAGTCGATAGCATAAAACACAGTAAGTATAAGGCGTATGATAATGATGATCCGAACACCTTCTCGAGCTGTTTTATTGATAGCAGCAATGTTAGGGTTGACACGGATGTTGAGGATAGTTTCGGCCAGAGGAGGAGAGAATGTTTTATGGGTAAGAATGCCGCAATAATGAAGAAGGTTGTTATTTTCGAGCAGAGGAGTAGAAGCTAC